GTCTATTCCACCATCTTACCGAAAGTCTCCATGAGTACTTTTACTAGATGTTACTTGCAGTAAGGATTATTATTCTTGGGTCTCAAGTTCTATGAGTCAGCTGATTGCTGTACTGAAATGGACTGCTGAACTTCACTTTCATTTAAATCTTTTATCAAATATAAACTATAGCCCATTTTCTCAAAAAGCTTGTAAACCTGGCAGACTGGGAAGTAGCCAATGTATGCTTTTCTCCTTCAGGTGAACTAAGAAAACAATGGTCCTACTTAAAAAGAAAAAAAAAAGCCCTGTTTTTGTTGGTTATCCTATTTTGAAAGTTTCTTCAGGTTACTTATACTTCTGTAATTTCAAATGTCTTCTATATTTCTTTTTTATAAAGTATTGAGGGTGGCTGGGTGGCTCAGTTGTTTAGAGTGTGTGCTCTTAACAAGAAGTTTGCTGGTTCAACTCCCACATGTTATGGTGGGCTGCACCCCCTAAACTAGATTGAAAATGGTGACTGGACTCAGAGCTTATCAGAGAAAAAACATACTGTTCCCCAAAAAAGTTAAAAAGAAATAAAAAAGGAGACATTTAGCAAAAATAAATTTTGAGACTCATGAAATAATCTTGTATTTAAAGGACCAGGGCCCCACTGGCCCAGCAGAATGGTAGGGTGAAAGTGGGTGTGGAGTCACCCCCTTTCAAACATTTAGTGCAATTCACTTAACTTGTGCTCAGAGGCAAAGATCCTCTCTCCAGCGTGTGATAGAGCATAGTCTTGTATTTACAGGTTTTACAACAAAGATATTCTGAGATTCACTGCCTTCTGTCTATTACCCTAGGTATCATGTAGACATGATACATGTCTGTCAAAGACAGACGCCCAGGTTAATTCTCAAGACAGATGGGGAGGAAGAGTGTGGAGTGGCAAAAAAGAGGTAGTGGGATTGGACACACCTGCCACTTACAGATGGACGATCTTGGGCACATTACTTAGTCTCTCAATCCTTAAACTCCTCACCTGTAAAATGGAGATAATAAAAGTGCTTGAGTGCCACTGGGTCTGAAAGGCCTAATCTATGTCAGTTGCCTAGTACAGTGGCTGGGACAACAATCACCCAATAACTTTTGCTATTTGTTGTCTACCTTTAATAGTAGTTGTACCATTATTTCCACAAGCTTGTCACGCTGCCACCTGTGGGATTTCCCTGTCCCTTCACAAAAAGGCTAGAAAATCACACTTGTAATGTCTGGTGCCAGCTACACAGTTTCTGGCAGGACAGAAAGAGATTAATGGACCTTTGCATGTCCCTCTTGAAAGCTTGACAGTCCTGGTGTGACAAAAAAATCACAATTACTAGCATATTAGTCAAATTTTGTACTGATATTTTGGACATCATACAATCTGTAATGAAAATGCAGTGGCTTCTGAAAGACAGCATAGTTTATTAAGCTAATACATTGTTGGAGAGTTCTGGCCCAAAAGCAAATTAAATCCCAGGAAGCAGAGAGCACAGGACTAACAGGTATGGAAGAAGAGGCCTGCGCCTTCTCTCAATTTGCATGTGTAAACACCCCCATGAAGGCTGGAATTTATGCATTCAAATCTACCTTGGAGGACGTGAAGAATGGGTAAGTAATACATATAAAGCCCTTAGAATGGTGTCTAGAACAGAGTGAGTGCCCAGAAAGTGATGGCCCTTAGAGCAATAATTATTATTGAAATGATCATAGCAATTTCTAATAGTACTCACAGGTCACAGTATGTTATTCAGTCTTGGGAGGAAACACTAGACAAGGCTTTTCACTTCAAGCTTTTCCTCATCAATAAAAATCTGGCCCAGAATGAAGCTCTGGGTGAGGCATCAGGATTCTGGGTTCACACCGTGGGTCTGCTGGTCAGCCTGGGCCAGAATTTCCGTGTCAGGCTCATTTTCTAGAACCAGCACATAGAGGCTCAGAGAGGATAAGTAGTATTCCCAAAACCCGCCAACAGGAAACGACAGAGAAGGGACATGAACCCAGGTAAACTATGGCCACGGCCTGTGTTCCTAATCACTTTATTAAGACTGTGTAACTGTCAGTTTACATCTTTTCCTCTTAAAATTATAAAAAAATTAAATTATATTTGTACTCCAACAGACACGGCATCTATGGTCAATGTTGTTCATTCAAGCCGTGCCATTCTCTCCGGTCTGCAGGCAGAGGTGGGACCCTGAAGCCGATTGGTTTCCTTTTCTAAACCCCTTCACCCTCCAGGGGAGCCTCCTGGAATAAGTCAATAAGAGCCAGCTCGCAACTAGATGAAAAACAAAGTCAGAAAAGCTGACAAAACGATCTTCATACTATCAGTCAGGCTGGGGAGAGTGAAATAAGCTTTGAAATATACCATGTAAAAATATTCGTCAGGACTCGTCAACTTTTCCAGGACTAAGACAAGTACCTTATGCAGAGGGAAGGCTTTTGAACGAGAACAGCCTGCAGCCCGGGCCAGCTCAGCTTTCCACCCTGTGCGGCTCGTTTGTGTTAAGTTCTCTGAGGGTGGGGTGGGGTGGGGGGAGCAGGAGAGGAAGCTTGTGCCTTTGACAGACTTCATGTGGGATGAAAGCATTCAGGGGCAGCGAGGTCTGCTGGACACTTCTGGCTGCTTTCAGCAGTGGCTGCTGGTTTTGGGATTGAGGCGGCACAACCAGTCTTCTCAGTTACTGTACTCATAACCTCTGGATTAAGCTGTTTCAGAAATATCCAGATTTTCACTTGAAGACATCCCAAATCATCAAGTGAAAATGCAGCCATATCTGAAAATATTTGGTTACTGGGCTAGGAGAGCAGCAGCTTCCGTCCTAAAGCCTATTCAAAGGGACCCTCTGTGCCTGTTATTGTGAGGTTTGCAGCTTCTTACACTAGATCCTGTATCTTTAATAATGCAAATTTTTTGCACATTTGAAATAGGTTATGTTCTCATAGCTTCCAACATCCCTAAAGAAAAGTAACCAGATGAATTTAGTGATCTGAAAGGATAAAGAGCACTCATGAAAATGACATCCTTCTCTGACAAGTGTTAACATGTGCAACTCAGCCCTAGCCCCAAGTCAGTCCCTAAGATTCAGAAAAGTCCTGCTGAAAATCTGACTATTGCTCTTATTTCCTGATCTTTCTGGGCTGTAAATCACAGGATCCTGAGGTGAGTGGAAGCGTGGGGTGAGACGTCAACCCACCTGTATCCCAGGAAGTGCACTCAGGATGCAATTACATGTTTTTGTCCTGACTTTGGCTCGCTCAGCCTCACCTATGGGACACCACAGAGCTAGCCTGAAGGTCAGACACTCAATCCACTGCCAGCGAGGCCCTAGTTCTCCAGACTTCCTCGCTGAAGACTTTAGATCTGGGTATTGGGAGATGAAAATGCAAGTAGGTACAGTGAGATAGAAGGGAAGAGTGTAGCTGTATATAAGCATTCTTCTGTGTGTGTGTGTGTGTGTGTGTGTGTGTGTGTGTGTGTGCAAATCACATGACAATATGGTGGGTGTAGCTAGACTGACGATGCATGGTTGGATGGCTGACTTGACAGGGGAGTATTCTGGAAAGCTCACAGATAGGACACACACAGGAAAAGGAACAGACTGGGAAAACGAACATCATCTCTCCATGATGACAAGTCTAATTGGACTTTTCCCCTCTCACTGAATTCTTTATATCAAACTGTCATGTGTCATCTCACTGTCATCTGCCATATGTCATGATAGATGACAGTGGTACCGTCTTAATGGAAGGGGCAGAAGTTCAATCAAGCTTGACAAATTAAGAAATAACTTCAAAAACAGCAACAAGTGCAAGGCCCATTGCTACATGCCAAGCTGAGGCAGAGGGCCATCAATCATTCTGCTGTGGGTGGTGCTACATCTAGCATGTTATTGTATCCCAGTTTTTATTACTAGATTTGAAGAGGTTGCAGAGAAATGATAGATGATATGTGGGAAAGGTTCAGGGAAATGATCACAAGGATATAAAATAAAATAAATCAGAAAAATATAATTTAAGGAATTAAGATAATTTTATTTGAAAAAGAAAAGAACAATAATATGGTTTAATCAATATTTGCAAGACATAAATGTTGACTGTGACTAGGGCATTCTCTGTATCTCCAGGGGCTGGCTCAAGACAAATAGAATTAGCGTGTAATAAGAAAGACTGGGATTAGGAATATTAAAACACTGCTGAGCATGGAGGGAAGGTGTAGAACTTTAGTTTCAAAGATATCTTGACTTAGATGATTTAGATTTGATATAGAAAGTTCCACTCCATAAGTTTGCTCCCAATTCTTAGATTCTATAGTATCCAAGAATACATTTGCTTAGAGTTCCAAAGGATCCTGGAAGAAGCAAGGATGTAGTTAGATCAAATTTCCCTTAGGTTTTAGCCCTGTAACCATGATGTCTGTGAAAGACAGGCCATCATCCCCCCTCATATGAAAACTTTATGATATTTTCACCAACCCAAATAAGTGCCATAGATTCAAAGTATGCTGTCTGGTGAGAAACACAAATTCAAGCTTTTCAGAGAATGCCAATATAATGTTCTTTTACTTTTTAAAATATTGAAATAGTCGACTACCAGGGAAATCTGTGCCCTAGTAAATATTTTCATTTCTGCTCCAAACTTATTTTCAATTGAAAGTTTGTTCACTGGTGCTTAATGTTGCTATTTGAATTTTTATGATTAAAAATGTCTGGGACTTCTTCTGTAATTTCTTCTGCATATTTTATACTATGTAGATATTTAAGTTATATATTAAAATCTATTTCAACTATGTATTTTAACATACTTCTATTGAATAAAAAAATGTGCTCACCTCCTTGGGCAGAAAAGAAGCCCAGTAGATGTAATGACCACTGTAACTATTAGAGTATTTTTGCTGCTGAAAAATCACAAAAGATTACAGATGTCAAAATCAAAGTGAGATATTTTTTAATTTCTCTGATGTACCTAGTCAGAAAAATATTGCTTTAGGATGAGTTCAGTTAAATTTCAGAACACAGAGAACAAAAGTTTTCACCTCAATTATCTCAAGATGAATTCATGTAAGCACACGCTGCTCCCCCAGGTACAAACCACAGTTGCCACCGAGAAATTTGTCCTTGAAAAAATGAAGGTGAAATCTTTGTTGCTAGTATACTCATACACACATATAGAAACACATTGTATAGTTTCTGAAAGAATTACCTTAAGATAATGGTAATTAGAACTTTAAAAAGTGAGAACATTAACATGGGAAAAACATATTTATAGATCCTTACTACATACTGGGAAATTCTGGGGAAAGTTCAAAGTTCATTCCCATGGAACACAGACTACTTATCTATTAACTTCTGACAAGAATAAACACTTAAATATATATATTCATATAAGTAAAATACATGTTATATTTATATGTATAAGATATATATATTTGTATATGTAAAACATACATTTTAAAGTGTTTATTTTTGTCAGAGGTTAATATATTACAGATATATTTCTTTTTTTCAGAATGTTGAAGGTGTGACCGTCATCCTTGCCACTCCTAGTGTTGTCCACAGACCACCACCATCAGAATCCCCTGGGAGCTTGTTAGAAATGCATTGATGCCCCAGAACTCTTGAAACACAATCTGCATTTTAATAAGATTCTTAGGTGATTTGTATGCCTTTTAAATATTTAAAATGTGAGGATCCTTAGTCAAAATCACCAATATTTTTTCTGCATTGTTTTCTAGATGACAGGAGATCTGTCAGCTAATTCAAACAATGTTTATACTCCCTTAATGTATATAAATTACATTTGGTGATTCTAAAAGTTCCAACCAAATTTTAAGATTCCAATCAGATATCAAACCATCCAAAAATCATTAAAATTTTTAAAGGGGACAAGAAGGCTATCTGTTCCTTTATTATGCCAGGCATATAATCAAAGGGGAAACATAGGCATTATTCAAATATAACGCCATAGTAGTCACTTATTTAATTTGTATTTTAAGTTTGAAATGGTAAGTCATCCTAATATCATATGATATATAACTCTCTCTATATAAAGCCAATAATAAGTCAATCATTGTTTTAATGGACTGAGCATTTCTTTAAAAAAAAGTTTAAGAAGTCTCCAAGATACTTTTATTGGCACTAAATATCTTTATTTCTCATTCATCTTCATTTAAACTTGTTTAAATCCTGCTTTAAATTCTGGGGGACTCTTAGACCATTCCTGCATATAAGGTCACCCAGGACTTCTCCCTTCCTGAACTTGGTTCTTGGATGTAGGCTTGCTGGGAGGCAGGTGCTCTGCCTCCGCCCTCCACCCCGCTCCGCCTCCAGGTACCAGAAGGGAAGACAGCCCCCTTTACCATGACTCATACAAAGAAACAGAGTTATAGGGATAAAAGGAAACCAAATGCTAGATAGCCACAACCTAGATAATTAGCCTCCACTAAGGTTCAGGCACAGTAATTCAATTGTCCTAGTTACAAGGATAACTGCCTCACTGGAAATAATACAAATTCCTTGGTAGCTAAAATTTGTAATCACATGGTTTAAAAGAGTACCTGCTACCTCAGGGCTGTTGAAAATATCACTGTTGTCCATTATATATTTAGTCCTGCTGCAAAGTTAATGTTATTGAATCTATATGTGCATATATATGTATACACACATATATAAACATGTACACATGTATACATGCACGTTTCTTAATATTTAACCCCATAGAAACAAACAAGCTTTACATAAACATCCAAAAATCTTCACAATTTAAAGCAAACAGTAAGGACATGTTACAGTGAAATTGGAAAATCTTAGCTGAAATCGGATGTTCTAAAAACTGGGGTCAAAAGTAACCATTTAACTAGTACTTATAAGCCTGTTGCATAGTGGTGTGTGTAATATAGTTTAAAATAATAAATGAAGGACAAATATCTGGTAATAACAGTACCCTCACCTCTTTGCACTAAAATATTGCACAGTGCCTCTGGGGATTGGCCTTGGTCCCAAAAGGGGGAAATGCTTAGTGAAGAAGAGGATGTTAAAAACAGACCTAAAGAGGATGCAAATAAAGAAAGAATGGTTATACATTTCACCCCTCACAAAGTAATAGCCTCTTCCCCCAATATATAACTATTACATTGTTTAGTACACCTGAAACTAACAATAAAAAAATGAATGAATGAATGAATGAGTGAATAAGAATGGAGAATGGTCTCATAGCTTCAGTGTTGGTAATTTATAACTGAGTTCATGTTAACAAAATCAGGTCCCCTTCAAACGTAATCACGTAAAATAAGTTTCATTGGCTTGAAAGAGGCTGTATTTATCTGTTAGATAAATGCAGCACTGAAGATCTACTTTGACATTTAAAAGGTCTGTCTGTTTTTAGCATCCTCTTCCTCATTAAGCATTGATAGTCACATCACATGTCATTTCAAATGGCAAGCTTCATGTCTTAATTGCAGAACTAAAACGTAGTGACAGTAACATGTTATGAATCATATCCCTCCACCCTCACCGACAGTGAGGGATCAAGGCAACTGGTGCCTGGGAGCAGACAGACATCGACTTTGCAAAACCTGAGTGCACTTCCTGGCTCTACTCCTGAAGTGGCCTCAGGCCCATTCCTCAGCCTCTTTTAGCCTTATTCGTCTTATCTGTAAAAGTGTGTTTTTGTGAATAAGAAACAGAGCAGGTAAAGTGCCCAGCATGAGGACATAACACACAAAATGTTCTGGAAAAAAGCACATATTATTATCATCATGATTTTTACTATGAGAGATATGCAAATGGAACCACCATTTCTACAAAAACGTCATTTATTGCTTTCCAACCTCATGATGGATATTTCCCAGCCCATGACAAAACCAACTTACCTTAGCCATTTCTCCCATGGAATGCTACTACTGACTTTGAGTGATCAAAAACAAACAGATTCATCATATTCAATCTACCAACTCAATTGCATGTTGAAGAAATTCTTTCAAGGCATCAGCTTGATTAGATTGATAATATGCACTGAAAATCCTTTTCCACTTCTGAAATATTTTAATCTGTCTCCTGCTTCAACAAGTAACCTAAGAAAGGAGACACAGGTTTGAGAAGAGGGCTTATTCATACTTGTGTTACTTTAGAAGGGGCTTTGGAAAGATGAAAATAGCAGGCAGGCTGCCACAACGATCCTGACACCACCATGGGCATAACACTGGGGACAAACCAGTGAGGTTAATTTATCACAAATGATGCCTCAGGGACCCCGAACTACTGGTCTTGTCACCATCTGAATGGGCTAAGCCCAGGGGCTGTACAGACATTCTTCCACTGGTTATAAATCCACTGCCCATGGAGGGAAGATGTCTGTGTTCAAAACGCCTGCCTGTGCTAACAGAAATGATGCTCAGACACAATGATTTTACAATACGTTTAAAACAAATTCTTCTGTGTAATTTCCTCACTAAATCCTTGCTCTCTGAAAACAATCAATACAGTTTTTATTGCATTTAAGGTATTTTTGTGAGAGGAAAGAAAAGGAGTTCAAACTGAAGTTTTTTATGAACAGCCACATGGTCACTCCACTTTTGAACTAACGTGATACATCACAGTCAGATATGTGTGTTATGCACTCACAAACTTAATCATTAAAATAGGAGACCACCTGTTTCAAATGCTTTTACACCACAGACAATATGAACCAGGAGTACTTGGTCTACAATATTTACTTCTATTTGTCTCAGTCAGGAATAACTATTAATACAATGCTAGATAGACAGAGATAGGAAAAATGATGTTTTCCATATTTCATGAATGTTTTACATTGATTTATTTTTCAGAATATACTAAAATAAATTTAATCTAAATACTTTCAAAAGATGTTATTATTTTTTTCCCTATAAACAGTCAGACTGTAGCTTAAGAAATGACAATGGTGGATCTACTCAATTCTACTTCATATTTAATTTTTTTTAAATGTCATGATTCACTTTAGAAGGACATAGTAAAAACCTGTATTGAAAAATGACTCATTTGATTGTGGATTTACATGGCAACATTTGAAACCAGTGGTCTAGCTAACACAGGCAACCATGCAGAAAGAGTTACAACATTCATAGAAATACCAGAGTAATTTTTGTGAACAGTAATTGCTGAAAGTAAAGAAAGAATGAGTAAGAATGGGTTCATGGTTTCGGTGTTGGAACTTATTACTGAGTTCATGTTAACAAAATCAGGTCCCTTTCAAATGTAATCATGTAAAATAGTTTCATGGGCTTGAAAGAGATTGTATTCCATTAGAAACATGCAGCATTGAAAATCTACTTTGACATTTAAGAAGTCTGGAAAAAGTAACTTCTCCATTTTCCTCAATAACTCAGTTTTAAAGTCCAGGTAAAAATTCTGGGACCAGTCTACCTTTTAATAACATCATGGCCATGCCATATACCTTCCTTTCCCACCCACCACCAACCCTCCAAATAGAATAGAAAACCCCCCACCCCTAAACAAAACAAAATAATATTGAGCAATAAACTCAACAATTGTTTTCAAAGGGTGTAACATTATTTTCACTTCAATCACTTAACTCATCTAAATGAATGCTTCATGAATGCTAAGTGCTCCTGGGGCTGGAGAGAGAATCCAATGTAAAGAATTTAAGGAAACCATCTCAGCCATTGGCCAGGCAGTGGAAGTGCTTGGTAAATGCAGCATTGAGTGTGTGTATCCTGTAAGTGGGGTGCCGCTACACATCGCTGGGTGACCGCGCTCTCTGAGAGAGACTGGAGGGGATGCAGCCACAGCAAATGAGGCAGAGGGCTTTCTGGATCTCTTGGTTTCTGAAAGCATATATGACAGGGTTGATGATGGAATTGTAGGTGGCGGGCAGGAGGGTGGCATAGGTGTAGATGGAGGGATAGGTGTAATCAGCTATCAAGGAATAGAGGGTGAAAGGCATCCAGCAAGCAGCAAAAGTGCCCAGGATGATGGCCAGGGTCGAGACCCCTTTCTGAGTGGTCACGTAGTGCGAGGTGGCCAGGAAGTGGTGCTGCAGGGCTATCTGGTGGGCGTGCCTCATCACAATCTTACAGATCTGGATGTAGAGCTGAAGCATGAGCGCAAACATGAAGAGGAAGGAGATGGAGAGGATGGCAGCGTTGTTCTTGGTGAGAGGTCTGACCACGCTGCAGGTGGACTCGTCCCTGAGGCAGTTCCAGCCCATGACAGGCAGCAGTCCCAGGCAGATGGAGGTCCCCCAGAGCATGATAAGCATGACATAGGTAAACGTGACCGTCCTCTCGGAATGGTAAGTCAGAGCGTAATACAGGGAAAGGTAGCGGTCCACCGTAATGGCCAGCAAGCTGCAGACAGAGGCAGAGAAAGAGGCGACAATGAGTCCTATGGTGACCAGCTTGGTGGCTTCTGACTGAAGCAGGTAAGCAAAAACAAAATTGATGATGAGTCCAATGCCAGCCAGCAGGTCTGCCAGAGCCAGGCTGCCTATCAGCAGGAACATGGGTGCTCGCAGGCTGGGATTGTGGAAGATGATAAGGACCACGATGGCATTTTCACAGGAGATGAGGGTTCCTGAGGTACACAAGACAATGTCCCAGGGGTTGACAACCAGCTCTGGGTCTGGCTCAGGAAACTGGGAGGAGACAGCAGCCGAGACGTTCTCCGCAACAGCGCCGGCATCTGAGTCCCGAGGCGAGCCGCTTAAATTCGCCTTCAGGTCTTCATTCATTTTAACCCCTGTCCTCTTCAACGAAAAGACAGGCTTTTTAATGTGTAGACACAGCAGGGGGACAATCCAAAATCATGCAAAACCACACAAACAGAAAGCCAGCCCCTACTCAAATACTGCTATCAAGTGCCACAAGCTTCGTGAATTATAAACTGTTATGAAATAAAGCAAAAACCAAAAGTCTCCACGGTTTAAAACCCCCCACACAAAAAATGTCGTGTGGCGCTGGGGAAAAGCACAGGAAAGGACTTCAAACCACGGTCGCGAGGGAGGCAGGCACACGGGGAGCAGCGCCGTCTGTTTGCTCAAGTGCGGGCAACACACGCTCCAGCATCTCATCTTGCGTGCCAGGAACGGACAGCTGCTTGACATCTGGCTGCTGCGAGCACACCACGCGGCAGCCGCAAGTCGCGAGCCGGGCCGCCATCCCCGTTGGAATATTTAAATCGCGCGTTTCCACCCAGCTCCCACCCTCCAAAAGAATCCCCGGCGCGCGTGCACACCCCCAGCCAGAACAAAGAGGGCTCCAGACCTGCCCGGTGTACACGGGAAGTCGGGGCAGAGCCACGAAAGGCGGGTGTGGGCGATGGAGGTGTGGAGACGGACGGACGGACAGACAGACAGACAGACTGATGCTCAGGCACTGCCGCCGCTCCCCTGGCGGCGGGGACGGCCGGCGGAAGGAGGGGGACCGACAGGGCGCCGGGACCCGCGGCCCGCGGGAGCAGGGGTCATCGGGGGGGGGTCACCTTGGCGCGCGCAGGCCGAGGAGGCTCCTCCGGTGCGTCCGAAGCGCGCGGCTCTTCGTGTCGCAGGTGGGCGCGGGGGCCAGCGCGGCGAGGGGCGGCGGCCGCGCGGAGGGGCCGGGAGGATGGGGGCGCGCTCGGCGCCAGGTGAGCGGCGGGCGCCAGGTGAGCGGCGGGC